CAAAGTGAGGATTATTTTGACTTTCAGACAAAATTATTTGATAGTAGTAATCAGAAGGATTATGAATGTATGCTCAAACCCCATAAAGAGCTTTTCCTCCATAACTTAGGAAAAAAACTGGCTCCCCGTTGATAAAGAGTTTTCTGTGCGTCTATCGATAAGCTTATAATACCTCTGACTTATAAAATTACAAAGTTGATCAATATTGCCTATATATTCCTCTAAAGGATATGTCATTATTAGACTAGTTTCAGTCGAGATTAATCATCGGTATTTTTCAATGCACATTTTGACATTACCGTAGGAGTAACAGCTTATGTATAATTCCGGCAAATCCGCAAAGATAAATATCACACCGGCTGTCATGTCTGATCTGCTAATGGGTAATATTCATACCTGGGCCACCAAATAAGAATGCTGCCCGACAGAAATATATCTTTAGTCTCTAAATCATTGAATTTGTCCTATGAGATTCTCCGTTTTACAACCATCTTTATGTTTTACTGAGGAAATTTTGGACTCTGCCTCAATTTTTAACGTTCGTAAACCGCTGTGAAAGACTCTTTTAACAATTAAAACTCCCCAGCGATGCTGTTCGTCATTCCAATGTAGAAACGGCGGTTGTTAAAAATAATTCTTCAATCCAAGAGTTAAAATTCTGTGTCTTCGATAACAAGAACCTTAAACGTGCTATTGTCGATCGTATACTCCTCTACCGTTAATTCTTCTTGTTTGTGAAGAATTTGCAACAAAACGTTGACCATTTCGAATTTCGATGTAGTTCGCCTCAGTCCGGCTTCCGCCAAAGCCTTTTTCTCCTTGAGTTTTTGTTCCTCTTCACTGTCCAGGTAATTTGTTTTGCTCTTTCTCAGGGCACACTCTGTTTCTTGAAGGATTTTATCCAGATTTGTTTGGACTCTTGATATAGCATCGTGTTGGGCCTTTGAATTTTCCATAGCAACCTTCAGGATTAACTGTTACACAATTGAACGAGATCTAATTGCTGTAATTGTTTGGTAATCGAGTCCTCGTCGTTGAAAGATGTCTCTTTTCTCCTTTTTTCCCAACGTCTTTGTCTACTGTTCTGTATCAGGCTAGATTCGTTCCACGAGAGAACAAAGATTCACTTGAAGAATAATTCTACCCTTGCTGCTTGCATAAGCGACTTTCACGGAAATTTTATCTGCGATCGCCATGTAATCACATCATTATAATGATCATATACTACACCCTTGAATATTTTCAGGTCTTAAAAAGTTTTCTCCGATCAATCAGCATTCCACGAGTGACAGCTAAGGGTTGAAGGGAATTTTTTGCCGACCACACCAGGCTGTAGATTAGAAGCCGCAATTCAACCAAACTGGCTACAGAGCTTTCGAAATACCGCAAGCGCGAACAATGCAATGTAGCTGTGTTAACTCGCAACGCTTCGAGATGAATGCAAATTTTTTTTCGCTTATCGGCAAAAATGAAAAAGCTTATCAGACAACGGAAATATATTTAAGGGATAGAGATATGGAAGAGATAAGCCTTATTGTTATTGCATTTATTCTAAAAATACCCAAATAAATGACTTTAGCCGGATTAAGGTGTACGCGTCTTATAGGTATCAAATTTAGATTTTTTTCTGTGTCTAAATTTGATTCATACGAAATCCTGTTTGTTTCAAAACATGTACGTGTCGCAGCAGGCAAACTCAAAGTAGCTGACCCAATATGAGTCCTTTTCCTTGCTGGATTATGATGATAAGAATCTAAATGCAAATATCACTTTGCGCCTCATTATAGGGGGGTAAGGGGAGGGAGGGAAAGGTTAAAAGTGAAATAAACAGACCGGCCATGCAGTCGGACACGTCTTACGATGTTTCAAGGAAGGGGTGGAGGTACACTTCTCCGTATAAAAAGTTCAAGAAAGTACTTTGCAGAAGTAATGAAGACGATGATCAAGGAACACCGTGCGTTGTTTGTGGTTTGTTCTTGATCTTTTGTGTTGAAGATGGCATTTGTCGATCAAAAGCGGGGTCAGGATTTAAAAAAAATTTGGTGTCGCACCCCTATCAAGAATCTGAAAAATTCTCCCTCTCCCGAGGAGCTCTGTTCTTTGTGCCTGGAAAGAATAATGAAACGATTTCAAAAGAAAGAAGGAAAGAAAAACCTTGACACTAAAAGTCGTACACGGAGATCGTACAGCAGAGCATTCTAACACTGGGACCCTTCTCCAAAATTAGAATTCCCAACCATTCTTGAAATCACTAATTTTAACTCAACTCCTGCAGTTACAAAAAACGCACAAATTTGTCCACATTCAGTTTTTAATTCATATCTCAACAAATATTTACAGGAATAACACCTACAATATGTCATTTTAAAGTGTATAAAATGGGCTTCTCAGGAAAAAAAAAATTCATCATTGAAACCCAGGACTTTCCTAAAAAGTAAAATTTAAAACACAAAATAAGTAAGACATAGTGTAAAACTTGAGGTAAAAGTCACTTTTCCTCATAGGTATAGGTTAATCAAGATTAATTGATAGCAGAAGTTAATTATTAACATGTCAGCAACATTTCCTGAAAATCTGAAAGAAAAAGAATAAATAATGAATTTTTTATGAATTTTTATGTGCACCCATGTCATTCCAAAAAAATTAGCAAAAATTTGTCCACATTCAGTTTTTAATTCATATCTCAACAAACATTTACAGGAATAACACCTACAATATGTCATTTTAAAGTGTATAAAATGGGCTTCTCAGGAAAAAAAAATTCATCATTGAAACCCAGGACTTTCCTAAAAAGTAAAATTTAAAACACAAAATAAGTAAGACATAGTGTAAAACTTGAGGTCAAAGTCACTTTTCCACATAGGTATAGGTTACTTAAGATTAATTGATAGCAGAAGTTAATTAAACTGAACAGGAAATTTAAGTTTCATACATACCCACCCTTAATCTTGGTGGTTTCAGGAAGTTTCATCTGATCAGGCATTTCATTCGGGAAACTTTGGCTCTAAATTTAAAGTTTACAGAAGGACGTTTGTATGTTTAAGACAGTGGGGGGGGGGGAGAGGGGTGCACTGTATAGATATATTGAACGCCCCTCCCACTAAATTAACAAGAGGGGAAAAAAAAAAAGGAGAAGATGTCTAAGAATTTCGAAGAGGTTAGGAGGAGTTTAACTATGATGGATGTGATGTTATTGACGTCAAATATCGCCCATCTACCCGATTAAGGATTACGGTTCACGGTGGGAATCCCTGACAAGAATAAATCTCTTTCGTAAAGCCCTTGATTTTGAACTCAATCCACATTAATGTTTGCTAGGTTTTATTTACTGAATCTCTACTCTTCGACATATTTTTTCTTCCTCGTTCGTTGTGAAAGGTAAACAATATTACTATAGTTCCCTAATGAAAGAGCGAGTGCTCGGCCTTCTTCCGGGAAGTATGTTTTCGCTCAATGATATAACATCCTTCGACTCTCGGTAATGTTTTGTAGAAGACCTACTGGCAATTGCAATTTCAGACATTCCGCCTTCGTCTTATTATGTCTGGCTATTTTACCATTTCACTCTTAAGATCTTATTGCTTATTCTTCTAACTGTCTACCACATAATTCTTAGGATGTTAGTTAGAAGAATTTTATAGTAAATAATAATCCCTATTTGGCATGCATATTAACGAAATCTCATTGTGTTATTTTTCACTATGACAGTGCAAGGTGTCGGTTAAACATAACTATTTACAAGAGAATATAAATCTCTTGCTATCTATCAAATCCTAAAAACGTCTCCATTGGAACTGAGTGCCGTCACATTCAGCCAGAAGAGAATTATTCAGCTATTATTTAAAATAACAAGAGATTATGACCTTTTCTCTTCTATGTTAAATTTTCTTGAAAATGGACATCATTAAGTTAAGATTTGCTTCTCCATCTCTGGTTAATCCATTGTTAAAACCTTTTCACAATGAGCGGGAGCAAGTTATCCCATACTCTCAAAACATCTTTTTCGACGTTAGCACGATATACACTTTAATTATAGTTCTGGTCTGTTCCTGGCTGGTCCAAGAAGAAATTTGTATTCACGCGCATCTTAAGAAAAACGAGCATTAATGGCAACTCATAATGTTTAGGGCTTCCTGCAGGAGTTTGGGCCAATCACACCGGTCGTGGCAAATGAGAGTTCCGTTTTAAAATAACTGATCTGTTCAGTCAGTTCTTATGAATCTGACTCAACTCAAGTCGACTGGGACGAGTCAGCTGACGAAAGGCAGTTTACACTACGGTACATCGCGTGAAGGACTGAAACGAACAGGTCACGCTTTACGTCATGTCATATCGCAATGATAACACAACTTTTAAGATCCACCATATGGATTTTTAGATTGCTTTAAGGACCCTTAAGCCTTTGGAAAGTTTATCAAAAGTGACCGATAAGTCTACAAGTCTCTGGATAGGATGACTTGCATCTTTGAAATACCGTATTAAGCATAACGTTTGATAACAGACAAATTTCAGTTTGGAACCAAGGGTTGCCGCAGACTTTTCAATCAAAGTCTCAACATTTTTTATTCAACCGAGTTTTCTCGTCGGAGAAAGGCTTGCGTTGGGGAGATATCTTTACTCAAGAGGAAATGCTGACATGAGCAGCACCTTTTAACTTTTTCTCAAAAATCGTTTTGGAAAATATTAAAGAGAATCTAGCTGTGGAAACGAGATGCACAAGTTATCATATAATTGAAACTCACCATTATCTTATAGGCTTAATCTGTAAAGCATAGGTTCTTTAACAGATTGATGCAAAAAGTTTCGTCTCTTCCCGCACACACACGCACAAACAAATACGAGAATGAGCTACAATTCTTACTAATGACAGCTTAAGATAAACAGAGCTTGTTTGTGAAGGTCAAAGTTGAAACATAAACCATCTGTAGCGTGTACATTCGCATACCACAGTCAAAATCCACTCAACCTTGTATTTTCCTTGACTTAAGCGCTGCCGTATGTTTTGTTTCCTGAAGCAACACCGCTGTGTTGTAGATGACAGGTTCACTTGAATTAAAGAAACGTTTTACCACATTTACATGGAGTAGATATGTAACAATTGAAGGTTACAGTTTTTTCGGGGGGGGGGTCTTTTTTTTTGACTGATGATAACCAGAAGTGGCGTGACAAAGTGGTTACATCAGTATATTTCCAGAGAGTATTAATGCGAGAAAAATTCAGAGTTCCATTTGATATCAATCACTCATTCTGCAGGGTTAAAAGGCCTTAAGATACTCTACTTATTGTAAACCGCAAATAACTATCATTTCGTGTCTGCAGACTTTATCCTCCCCCATTTCTTTTGTTATCAATGTCGCCGATATCGGTGCAATGTCCTAATTTCAAATCGCCATTGTTGTCCTGAACGTATATACAACTATGCCGTAAATTCCTTATTGCAAGATGATGTCCCAATTCTCCGCATGTCATAGTTCCGTGTCCTCCAGAACGTGAACCTTAAATGTATATCCGTTCATGGTATACTCCTTAACAGTTTGGACTTCTTGAACTTGTAATATTTGCACTAATAAATGGGCTACTTTGTCAATTTTTGCCTTGTTGTGTCGCGGAGCGTGTTCGTTGTACAGTTCTGTCAATTCGTTGAATCTTGAGCTGGATAATTTGGCAAATTGCTGTTCCCTGCTTTGTCTTGAAGAGCCGATCTTTGATAATCGCAGAAAGAAAGCCGCATTTTCTAAGCTGGTCTTTAAGTTCGAAGAGGGCATCCTTGCCGATTACATATATAAGAAAAAAAAAACCTTCTGTTTCTCAGAATTGACGGTGAAAACGTCCTTGTCCTTGAGATTTTGCTCTGCTTGAATCGTTCACTCTAGTCGTTTGCTTCGACGTCTTTCCTTTGTCAAATTTGAAAGCTATGCGTGCATTTTTCCCTGTCTCTGTCTCTGTCTCTGTCTCTGTCCACTTATCTCGTGCAGATCATCATACGTTGCATCTTGACAGAGCTGAAGATTTGATCTTGACCCCTGTCAAAGAAAAGGAGCTTTTTAGGTTTTACCAAAATCGATTCCCTCAAGATTTGTTTTTCTCGAGATTGCTATCACTACATGACATCGATAATTGCTTTGTAACACAGCCGGAAAATTCCGAAATACCATTGAAACGTACCTTCTTGTTTACAAATGTCGACGACCTGTTTTCAGAATAGGCACCTTAATTGTAAGATTATACGAGTAGTTGCGTGAGAGCTTGTAACAAGATTCTGTGGCTTACCACCAATGAATAGAGCTTGTTTAGGAAAACAAAACAATTGGAAATTAGCACTGGCGGACTTCAAAGTTCAATGATATCATTATCCAAGCAGAACCCTTCATTAAAAGTCCAGCTGGAAGTTCATGTTTGACTTTGTTTGTTCCGTTTCCCTTGACATCTAATATCAGGATACACGTAGGCCACCTTAGAAAGTCTGTCTTCCGAGAATATAAGATTACTACAGCAAATGCGTTCACGGAAACATCCGATAAAGGAACAGAAAAAAATGAGTGGAATTTTTTAATTGATCGCGAATCATTGTGTATAGTAATAATAAGCTAAACATTAATCAGTACAAGCATTATCAAAACATACCTCGAGGCATTGAAGCAATCAGTGCTGCTGTGAATTTGGAGCAAACACAAGCTAGGTTTTTATAGTTTTGAAAAATTCAAAGGCAAACGAAAATCCTTAAGTTTTTGGCAAAAGTATAAACGTCATACATAAACGATAGCACTGACCGACTTAAAAAACTATATTAGTCAACTTGTTTACTTGAGTTAGAATGCAGAAACTCGCTAAATATAGTTTTGAATTAGGCAGGTAATTATCTTTATATAGAAAGAAATACAATAGGCAGAGTTCAAACGTAATGGAAATTTTGGGAAGAAGGCGGTTGTTTACGATGCACAACTTTCCTACTTGCAAAGAGATATGAAAAAAATGTTCTCTTTTCTTTCCTTTTTCTATAGGGTAAAATCAAGACCTGTTGAATTTTTTGTAGTTAGGTGGACTAAAGTGATGGATCGATAAGGGACACAGAAAATAAAAACCACATGTTTGGGTCAAAGGTTTCCATGGCGCATACGCATTCGATGCGTTTTTGCATGTATGTACGCATGTTCGCTCGTTTTCCGGTTTGTTGTTGTTGTTGTTAATTTTTTTAATTGACATAGTTAAGAATGTACCTTTAAAAATTCCTTTTCGTGGAATTAATTGCTTATAATTTCCAAAAGGGGTCTCCCTCTTTTAGTTTAGACTAAAACTCTATTTTCTCAGTCTCTCGATCAACGGTTCTGTCTAGTCACACAACTCTCGACATTTTCTGAAGTGTTGTTCTGACGAAGCTCTATCGTACAACTAATGGTATTTCTAAGGATTTTTTTTTCTTTTTTTGTAGGAAAAGAAAGCTAGACAAAAGTAGCCAAACTGCCAGAAAAAACGCTTTTTCTCTTTTGCGATTTTCGTTGGTTAGTCTTACCTGGAGGCAAGACTCGCATAAATATACTCGACCCAGGCCCTTAACTACGTACTGTCCAAAAATACGCGATATCAAAGGATTTAATTACCCTCCCTTGAGACGCGCGAAAATACTTCGGTGGCATGCTATTCTTAGGATGGATTTGTGACGTGTTAAGGCCTTCCGCTGTAAACATTCGACTTATCTTACCCGTCACTCCCTTGCACAAGAACCGTCAATTTTAACACGTACGGTCGAATACCTATGAAACGGCAGTGAAATGGCAGCTCTATCGGTGCAAGTCAAAACCAATCTGGTAAGCTTGATGCCGTAATAATTCCTTTTAGATATTGACTTTTCTGTATCAGAGACTGTGAGCTTTAACCAGCTAGATTATTCTCAAATATAAACACTAGCAATAGCAATTTGGTTTAAACAATTTACTTGTAGGATTGTCAAAAATAGTGCTCTGACTAAGAAATAACATCACAGATATCGATAAAAGTCGACTTAAAATGTCAATTATTAATGTCCTTTTCTTACTCTGTGACATTGCACGGCGACTTTGTCATGATAAACTCTAAAACGTTTAGGGACGTGACCTCAGCTAAATAAATAAGTAGAGGACTGGATGTCCTGTCACATAAATTAGCTTTCCTGCCTGAATTACCCGCCTGTTTTGCTGTTTTCGGTGTCCTTTCGTTTCCCCTTCTTTCCGTCAATTTGCATATTTACTTTCGTGTCCTTGAGTGTTCAGTCGATTGTCGGCAAAGCGTGACATGTGTGACATCCTATCTCAACTTGGCATCACATGTCAACGCTGTCTTGCTTCACACCGCATTTTTAAATGCGGAAAAGCTATAACAAGTATTCTTGAGTAACTCTACTTTCTGTAGTGCAAGTGCCGGGAAATTGTTTAGGAAATATCACTCTCCCAGATAACACCCCTTGTCTAGTAAGTAACACAACAAAAATACCCATCAAGCAGAACATTTCAAAATTTCAAAGGAAAGTTGCAATCGTGGACAAGTGTCCTCGAAGTTTTTCATCATTATTGTACTACTTTTTGGTTTAACTCACTTCCTACTCATTTCAATAATTCGCATGAATGCAGGAACAAAGGGAAAAATTTTTTGAACCGAGGATAAAGTAAATCAGCAGCACACGTTATTTAAAAATAGAGGTTACAACATACTTTACTGATAAGCACTTATGTACGAATAAGTTCGATTCATCAAGGTTTCTTTTTCTTTTTTTTTCTTTTTTTTTTCTTTTTTTTTTCGCAAACTAATGCACATTGCAGTCTTTGAGTTCTGAAACTAATCCTCTCGATGCCACGGGCCACTTCTCTGTGACAAGATCGAGTATGGCAGCCCGGCTAACATTTTTAAAACAGCGCAAGCAATCGATCAACTTTACTACTCTATTTATTTTATTAGGGGCATATAATCTAAATTAAGAGAACTCATTGCATCAGTGATCGAGGGCAAGTGCTGGAAATTTCGCAGATTCAAAGAATCATTTTTGAAGACTACAAAATACCGTTAGGGAATTTTAAAAAAAGTCAGTGTGATTTCCGCTACAATTTTACTGTTTTCACATATTGTGATCGCTGCAACCTGAAATTTCTTTTTCTCGATCAATTTTAGCTCTGTTAGCATTTGTACTTTAGGTTCTATAGGGAATGTGCTGGGCTCGTATCTTTTTGTGTCCTCATCGGCTTTTAGAGGACCTATTTGCATATGACGTCACAATTGTCACGGATCTCTTTGATGCTGCTCTGCATTGCAAATATATTTTCTAGAGCATCGTACAAATTATCATTCGCGAAGCGACGCTGTAGTTACAAGCGTTGGATCAAAGGAGCACGTCACTTTGTCAAAGAAGTACCGAACTCAATCAGTCCAGTTGAAGAAAATGGTGAGTTAAAGATGATCAAATGCTTTCCTTTTAGCATTCAGGTGTTCTTGTGAAGTGAAATTATATTTCAATAACATTTAGTACATTAAAACGAGACACAAACAGCGATCATTTCGAAACGCAGTCCATCGAATTCTTGCAGCAAAATTTAAGAATTATATTAATCTTTCCCTGTTTCAAAAAAAGGCGACACAAAGCTGACTTAATCGAGAGCATTTCACAAAAAGTTAACGCTTCTTTCGTGAAAATTTTGCCTCCTACATCTTTATGTGCTTCAGTGGTTGCTGCAGAATTTTTATCCACCATTGAAGTAATATGCAGCTAGAAGCAGCAGATGAAAAGACAGTTTACGGCGTAAATTTTGCTTCTGAAGATATATAACTAGAAGCAAATGGTTTTGAATCTTTAGAGTCTTACAATTTAAATGTCCTTTAAATTCGTGAATGAAAGTTCGCCAGAATCTTCGAGAGGAAAGGGCGTTCAGACGCTTGTAAACAATCAGAAAAATCCCTTGAATATGTACCAATATTAGCTTTAACTCTTTTTGTTTCTACTTGTTTCATTAATTAATCTTAAGCAAATTGCAGGACGAATCCGCAAAAATAGTTAAATTTGTACAATTTAGATGGATAAAGTTTGTTTGGCGAAGTGAGTTTGTCCACTAACTACACAAAATATTTGCATAAGTCGGCATCGTTCGTCACGCAACAGTGCTTTTCAATGCAGTTAAAATTGGTTTTTCAAAACAGAACCCCGAAAAAACTCCTATATATATATTCTATTCACGCCTCGTCGATTCGCACCTCATATTTTCTGCTTATCACTTCAAGGTGAAGAAACTTCGAGACAACTTCAATACTGCTTGCAGTTTATGCAAAATTTACAAACACACCCATTGCGGTTAAAAAGTCTTGTTCAATCAGGCATTTATTTCTCTGCTGAATGATTTCGGCTTTCCAATATTTAAAAAACAAAACAAAATTTCCACTTGATAGCACATGAGTCGTGCAAAACAAGGCGGGGCAAGAGTGTACGACTCTGACAAATCGATGTCGCATTCTTAAAAGCCATTCACATAGTAGAATCAAATAGACTGTCGGGTAATGACGAATATTAGCAAGGTGGCACTTTCCATTCTGGCCTCGCCGACATTAAAATATATAATGTGGATGTATTTACATCTACCTAAAATCCAAAATGCGGAAAGGCAGGGAATACTTCTGCAGTTATTTTTGTACTTTTAATAATACTAATGATATTAATAATAATACTATAATAATAATAATTTTAATAATGATAATGATAATAATACCTATTAACCTGTAAATATTGAATATAAGTTACTGTAATAATACTTTAAGTGGAGATTCTAATTCTTGGAGCAGTAATAGAAGAAAATGAAATTATTGAAATAAGTAAAATGTTCCTGAATACTTGACTTCATTGATTTTCATGCACACTTAAGGTATTCATGAAATCATTAACTATTACTCAAGTGTTTCCTTACACTGCGGCAAAACGTGCTATAGTCATTGATGTTAATTCCTCATGGATGTTGGGATTTCATTAAATCTGCAGTTGAAAATCTGAAAAACTATTTATAAAGTTTGTACGGTGACAGCAATTAAATCCATTGTTTAATAAAATGGGATTTTTATTACTTCAACGCCTAAAAACGTTTTTTGTATTGAAATAGTCGTCAAAGTATGAATTTTGAAAGTAACTGGTGTTTCCTTTTGTATCATCTCTCAGGCCAAGTTTAGCGAGAGGGAAAAGAAACGTAAGTAAAGTAAAAAACATGTTTTAGACAATGTAAGCGCAAACTGCAAAGTTACTTTTACAGTCATTTCTATCGCAAAACAGTAATTTAAATTTACTTTCTTTAGATAACACTTCTTGGCTTATCTGTTCAACAAAAAAAGTTTTATTTGACTCATTTTGTGTATTTTTTCAATCACAACCAGATTTCCGTGAGGCCTTTGAACTCTTTGATCACGATGGCAGCGGTTTCATCACCACTGACGAGATTGGAGTTGTCATGAGGAGACTGGGACAGAATCCGTCCCCATCGGAATTGGAAGACTTGATCAGGGATGTGGATGCCGATAGTAAGTGAAAATTTTGATACTCTAGCTCTGTCTAACACATTTGCAAAACCAGTGACATGATACAGAAATAAAGACAAAAGAACAGTCATGTAAAAAAGAACATATTTCCATTTTCAACGCTCAAAGCTTACCATCTTTATTAATCCGTTCAATCTCGACGCTGTCGATATGGCTGATCCTAGCATTACTAATACCCTAATTCATCCGTCATAGTTTTTAGAAAGTGTATTTAAATATATAAATATTTTATTTGATTTCTTTCAAAGAAACTCCTGTCGGCTGAAACCCTTTTCTATTGTTCTTGATTTTCCTCGAGAGGGCATGTTCCTCAAATCGCTTCTCAGCGGACTGAGAAATGTTCTGGAATTACTTATTGAAATTCAGGAACTGTGATTGTGACCAGTAAACTTGCATTTTAAAAGATTAACCTACCTAGTTCCTATTTATGAATTCATTATCAACCAATCAATGTATAACTTAACGAGTCTTCTCATTCATTATTATAGACAGTGGCCACATTGACTTCAACGAGTTTCTAGTCATGATGTCTCAGACAAAAGAGAAAGGTCAGCAGGCGGAATTGCGCCAGGCCTTCAGGCTCTTTGATGCAGACGATGATGGTTTCATCACGTTCGAGGATCTGAAGAGAGTTATGCGTGTCACTGGAGAAAGTTTGTCGGAAAAAGAATTGAAAGACATGTTCACAAAGGCAGATATTAACAAGGATAGCCTTGTTGATATGAAAGGTAAAGTTTGCAATTTCTGAAAAAGGTATACACAGATAGGGTTCAGAAATAGGAAGGTAGTATTTGGTCACTTTAGCTTGTGAGCAGGCCGTCATTATAAGCGTAGCAGGCTGCACGTTTCACCGCCTGTGGGAAGGTTTGAGTCGAGTCGGGAAGAGGTTTTGCCGGAAGTCTGGAACTAAGGAGTAAGTGCTAGACCCCTCGCAGACCTGTCAACTGTTCGCGTTGCTTTAAGTCTCATAATTTCCCGCGGGCTGAGAAATGTTCATGCTGAAGCGCCAATAATGGGGGTCTCCTCTCAGGCTAAGGCCAGTTAGGCGGTATTGTCTCTCGTGTATCTTACAACCTTACCATGCTAATTTTGCTATCTCGCTCAACGCCAGAACGATAGAGTAAGGCGTAGATCACCAGAAATAAATGTATATCATTTCCTTTATCGAGACCACTTCGATAACTGTATGCTTCATGTATCTGTAGATGAGCCCTCCTCGACGTTTGAGCTTCGATCAGGCCAGCTATACATGGTGCGTAACGCATTCCAAATCACTTCCCTCTTGCGCGAGATCGATATAGCGAAGCACAACAACGTCGTTGCTTAGCAATGTTTTTCATCATAGTTTTTATTTATTTTCATTTTATTATTTTTCCTATCTTTCTGCAGAGTTCACCAGGATTGTGAGCAACGACTAAATGGACTTCTGTGCCATAAATTTGAATAAGCCAATGAATGATTTGCAGTTTTTGTCTTGCCAAACTGCCGAGTTCAAATATTGCTAAGGTTTAACATTCGTTTGAATGCATACGCACCTTTTGTTTTGTAATCAATCAGGCTTTAGAAAGCCGGGGTTAGATGAAATATTATAAAGGCTTGATGTTAGCGATGTTAAAAATAAAATACTGCTTTGTGTTCCCATTCTGGTTTCTTTTATCTTAAATAGATTAATCGGACTTGTATGTTCAGTCCTAGTGGCGGTTCGTTTCTTAAGTTAATGAACCCTAACTCCCAATCGAGATGGATTTTTTAATTCTCCTTACAATTTCGATACATTGTTCTCCTCTCCCTTCTTCGCTCTATTTTAAGATATCAAGTTGGTAATTAAGTGTGCGACAGGCGCACAGCGGAAGATGGGAAGAGCTTCTCCGTCGCCTTGGTAGTTCTAGTCCTAGTCTCCCGATCGAAGCCCCAGAGAGGTCTGAGGACGAGACAAATTATCCATCAAATACATGATGCACGAGAATTAAAAAAAAAAAAGAAAAAAAAAGGAAAGTGATGAAACTTATTAGCGAAAGAGTGTTGTCTTGGCAAAACAGAAAATATTCCGAGCTGGTTTTTCGAGAAAAAGAAAAAATTTAAGGGAGAGTTACTAGTCAGATAGCGAGCTAGGAAAAATTGAGATAACACTTTGACTGATTACTACTAACGTGAATGGCAGCTGCGTTTCCTAAGCAGACTAGCTGAGAAGTCTTAAATCTGCATAATTCCACGTCATTTTTTTAGTGGGAAAACCTTACACTGAATTTGTAAAGAAAATGTGTTTTACAGACACAATGCCCAACACGAAACTTTAAAGAACATATTTTTTCTTAGTTTGACTTACATTCTGTCAAAACAACATTAATTATTCAACATGATATTGTTGAGTTACAAAAAAAAAAAAAAGGAAAAAGAAAGAAAAAAAGAAATTGATGTAAGCGAAAGAGTATTGTCTTTGCAAAACAGCAGATTATCTGAGCTGGCTTTTCGAGACAAGGAAAAAAAATAAGTTTTATAATTATCCAAGCATGCATGCAGTGAAAAATTTGGCAAACCTATGAATGCAATAGACGTGTATCAGTAAATTTCCGGAATTTCATTGCAACTTGAAACATGTTCGAGACAACCAGAATGGTCCCTTCTGTCGACGTTTCTAGAACCGCAAATTACCGTAAAAAGATATGGATAGAAAGAAAAGAACAGCGATTTTTTCAAGAGATCATCGCACCGTAATGATGACTTAGAAAATTTTGGCAGCGAACCATCTAACTAAGCATTTAAACAAACTTTTTGTCATATGGACGTGTGCTCATTAATATATTTATAATGTCTCTTTTTGTGATTATCAATAAGACAGATATCAGCTCGATTTCCATTTTGACACCTGCACCCAACAGTTACTGACCACAATCTGTTGTACGGAACCTACCTCTTCCCGGACAATTTTATTGCAACATAATGGTGAGTTGCTGAATTGTAACATGCCGAGTTAGATTTATTATTTAGTGCACAATTGTGGAGGCCAGACAAGAGGAATATTTTTGGCGTGAGCATTTACGTTCCTCCTTGCGTTTTGTAACTGATATGGCTGGCGGCTAGCACTATAGAATTTTTTCAGAGCTACTTCCATAAACGTTGAGGGTCTCTTAGAACTTTTTTTTTTCTCTTTCACTGACGCGAAACGAAGACAACACCATTTTCCCCTTCACGTTTAGAATTGAGTAACAGAAGTGCTGTGTTAGCGGAAATGGACGCGTGATGAAAACCTTACTGCTTTGCAGCAGAATGAAAATAATGTAATTTTTTTTCTAAAGAATCTGTTGCCGTGTTTCAAACTTTACCTGGGTCGTTTTTAAAGGATTAAGACATCCTTAAAATCTGCATTTCTCGTTTTATGTATGTTTAAATATGATTTTATGTTAACTTGAGACGGACGATGTTTTTTAGTGTTAAAGTGGATACTCGTTTGATTGATAAGTTGTTTTCAATAACGTCAAATAGCCCCTTTCGCTATATGCTTTAATTAGAAAGATTCTCGAAAAGCGCTGCTCTCAACCATATTATCATAGTTTGACTTTATATTAAAGACCCAAATTAACGCTTTTTGCCTCTGACATACAACAATTCTGCTAAACACTCACTTTAAATTATTTAGCAACAATCATCAAGCCGTCTTAGGAAAAAAATTATGCGATGTTTATCAATTATAATTGTTGCTGTGGCTGTATTGTATCACTGTTTGTCCGTGACACAAAGGGAACTTTATAGGATGTTCTGGGCATCAGTTTAACTAAAAAAAAAAACGTGAAATTAAACAAAAAAATCGATCTCAACGGACAATTCCATCACATGTAACTTGTAACTTACGGTCCCTCGTTTTACATGTCCACACTTATAACAACACTAGCTGTGAAACGTAAATTTAGTTGGATTATTCAGCCACAATATTTTGGCTCTGCCTTATCTCCAGGTTGTGACACTAATTGCGAGTTTGTTAGAAATTTTAACCGGTTATCTCATCAGCGAGTCACGTTATCTGTTTATCGAAATAGTAACCATGCTGTTAGCCGGCTGTTGGTAAAATACTGTAATTAGCATGCGATGACAATGAAAATTTTAGAACTCTTTTTCCAGCCTTAGGGCGAATTCGAATCCAATGGCCCATACAGCAGGAGTCCAATGAAATGAATTATTTAGTTCATTTGTTTTAATCCCTCTTTGTTCTTCTGTTTGATTTGTTGTTGTTGTTGTTGTTTTTATTGTGGTTTGTTAAATTTTCTTTTCTTTTCTCATTTTTCCCCTTCTTTTCATTCGTTATTTTTCGCGACGCAGAAGAGAGAATATCTTTTATTTTTTTTTTTATAAATCAACTCAGTCTTTATTTTTCATTTTGCCATGAAACTCTATCGTTTTAAGGGAGACGAAAGCTGAACTTCACAGAATTTGTTTCCATAGAAGTGTAAACAAACGTTTTGCTTTTCTCTGGTAGGCTGAAAATTTTACCGAGGAGGAGGTCCAAGGTAAGTTCGCCAAGTGTTCATTCCCGATCCATTCATCTATCCACCCATCCATTCATGTATCAATATGTCTGCATGTATCCACCAGTCTGTCCGGCCGTCTAAAAGTATGTCTGTACATCCATCCGTCTGCCTGTCTACCTGTCTGTCTTTCAACTTATCTTTTTGCCTATTTAAATAAATTCATTGTTTTGTTTGACTAGAGTATAAAGAAGCATTTCAGCTGTTTGATAAAGATGGCGGTGGTACCATTAGCATCAAGGAATTGAAGCAAGTGTTCGATGCGTTGGGTCAACATCCTTCTGAAGAAGAAGTGCAGAATATGATCTCGGAGGTCGATGAGGATGGTAAGGTTAAGTGACGTACATATATTACCGAGAGGATTGGGGAGAGGGTTGGGAGTTGATTCAGTTGACACTTACAATCAAGCGACTGTGGAGCGCTTTTCCTTGGTACTTGGCTCATATTAAAGTTATCCGGAACATGACAGTTTTGTCTTCGATGTGAAGCGTAACTCTTTTGATTTAGTCTAGATTTAGTCGATTAGGGTTTAATCGGCAGGATCAATTTCTAGTTGAGAGTCCAAAGTAATCTATGATTGCTTTGGTTTTGCTTAGGTTTTGATAAGTATTCAAAAATAAGTATTTGATGAGTATTCAAAACACTTCACGCTTTTAACCAATCGGGTTTTGCTTTACTAGATCCTTTAATTGGTTAAGAAAATAGTTGCCTTTTATCCATTTCGTTTTCTTTCTTTCTTTTTTACTTTTTTGTTCTTAAAGTACCATTGTTTTTTGTTTTTTTCACTGCGTTCGTTTGTCCAGACAAATTTCATCGAAGCGTGCTCTAAATTGCGACGGGCACGCTAAAGAATCAAATACATTTCAAGAACGGTTGCCTAGTAACAATGTATAGTTGAAGTAGAACTTAATTATATGCTATGTACTTGTACATTTGTCTAAGTATTCCTTTCTATCCTCCAGGAAGTGGCGAAATAGATTTTGAAGAGTTTCTAAAATTAATGGCAGCCAAGCAAGCAAACATGACAATGGAAGATGAACTAAGAGGTGCATTCAGTGTCTTTGATAGAGATGGAAGTGGATACATCTCATCACAGGAGCTTAAACAGGTCAGCGAAGAGCCAGCCTCTTTCTATCCATGAGTTACCGGAAATTGTATTTTCTTTACTTTCTTTTCAGCCATCAACAGAAAAAAAAAACTTTTGCAGCAGGAGATTATCATAGTTTACAATTTATTGTCAACAATTAATCTAGTCACTTGCTAAGTCATCTCCACTGACTCAGCAAATGACAAGGGAAACTAGTGTACGTACGCCTTCTCGTACGTTGCTATTTGAATACGTCAGTCCAATCAATTTTTCTTTTCTAATTCTATTAGTTCTAATTCCTTTGGCTTAGTGTTACTTATATTAGCCTGAATGTCACTAAGGATATCCTGTTAGACCGAATTACATCAATAGGTTGGGTTACTCTCGCAGCATTCATTTGCACATCTTCAAAACGATTTTTAGGTCTTAGAGAATCTCGGCGAGTCACTGACTTATGAGGAGGTTGACGAGATGATGAAGGAAGCCGACCTGGACTGCGACGGACAAGTCAGCTTTGACGGTAAGAAGGACTTCCTTTTGACAGGAGCGTACGGTGAAAATATCAACTATTAAGCAGTCATGTCGGTCGGTCATGCGCAAATCATTTTAGCTTGGTTTACCATTGGTTACACAAATACGTGAATATTGTGTATTGCAAATGTGTTTGAATTATGTCAACTCTACTCGTATGAGCTCACTCACTGGAATCGAACTCAGAAATACATTTCAAGCTCCAGTCTAAAGTTAAAACCAACACCCAAAAGTCCGGCGTTAAAATGGCCAATCAGAACTAGCCAAAATATTTCAAGAAGGTAACGCAAACTCGATCAATAATCAAGCAAACCACAAGAAACGCGGGAAAACGCACGTGACCCAGATGCCGATGGGTTTCAGTTTTGCATCTGATTGGTTAAGAGACATGGTGGCGTGAGTTTTCTCGAACCAATCACATAGCGAAATAAAACATATTCGATGCAATCATCGATTACTCGCGACCCTCATTTGATATTTACCCAAGGTTCTCTATCTTGGCACAATCAAATTTAAATCCAAGGTCTTTCTTATCTTGAGGTAATTGACTGCTTAACTGTAGGTTACTTTAACTTAGCTTTAAGGCAAAGCGTTTAATTTGTTACGTTGTTTCTTTTCATTTCAGAGTTTGTGAAGATGATGAGCAATGTCAACAAATAGAAACAGATGATAAATTCTTTTCTTGTCAAATTTCTAATGTTTGCCTCATATATATGTGTGTGTGTGTGTCTTTTGTTTGGGTGTTCTTGTTTGTGTTTTCACGTGTATGTGTGTATGCAGGGGGGTGGAGCGGAAGGAGGTGCTTTTACCCTCTCTTCTTGTCTTCTATTTAATGGCTGGTCACAGTGCACTGCAGCTGTTATACTCTCTTCTACAGATAATTATGGTTTAAGACAATAAAGAACAATTTGCCCAATGTAGTTTTGTAAAAAGGATGAAAACTTAGTAGATAGTTGTTAAAAATTTAGACGCCTTTCGTGAGACACGTTGTCCTCGCTTCTGACTTGGGCGGTGACCTCCCGAAGGAAAGCACATTATATGAAACCTTCGATTTCAACATCGAAGATAAGTCGAGATACGGTGCGTTAGACACGATTGTTGATTCATGCCTTTTAATATCTGTCTTGATATTCAGAAATTGGATTTTTCCCGAGAATTCTTTGAGCGAACTTGAAAATTTTTAGCAGTGCCAGGAATAAAAAAATTACCTCAAGGAGTTTACTCGAGGATGTCAATATCTTTTCCACATGTGGAGGACTTTCTCAGGAGAAGGGTTTCACAATTTTGCAATTTTGAAAATGAGGGGCTTGGGACCGATGGACCATTTTCAAATTATAACAATCCTCACTTTGAAAATGAGGCAAATTGCAAAACATATCTTGAGGAACTAGACATAAACAAAAAAAATCATTTTAATATCAAAGGCTTTACAAATTCCCTTTAGAAGCTTTCAAACAGAGGTTTGATTGCACCCCTTCAGAGATGGCCCATTGCTAAAGAATGGACAAAAACTTTTTGTCTGACAGCAACATTTGACATATAGATTATTCATTCATTGGAAGGTCAGAATAAAGTTAAATCTCATAAACATAACCGAGAATAATCTGATATGGAAATATACAGCCAACAGTTGTGCTGTTTCTGATTACAAACCTAAAAGGAATAAAATGTCTGGTCATGGAAGTTAGCTCAAGTGCCCTCAATTACTTGAGTTAATGAGGTGTATGTGTTTCCAGAGATAAAATGAGTTTTACAAAGCCTCAGAGAATATTATTTTTTGTGAAATAGAAAGAATTTGCACATAATTTCTCATCTTGGTGAAACATTAGTGTCACTGAAATCCACTGAAAAATTGAATGTGTGCCAGTGTACTTGAACAAACATAGAACCCACAGAAAGCAACCTTATGCCTGAGGCTCTCACTGAAAACCACCTTTGTTAATTGGGTTCCCTCATTCAATATCATTATTACTGTATTAAGTTTACAACTCCTTTTCAATAAGGTGTGTAATATTTATTGTGACAAAAGCAGTTTGGAATAAATAACCATGTTAATGACATTTTTCTTCACCCTGGTAACACAAGTGAATAAAAACAGGAGTTTTTAACTGGACTGAAAAAAAGGAGAATTTGTGCATTTTTTTTTGTTTTGTTTTGTTTTTTGTTTTTGTTGTTCTTGTAAGTTTCTTTTCCCCTCTTGAAAGAACTTGTGTTTGTGAATCTTTTGAATAATCAAATACCCATAAAAAACCTACAATTTTTTTTTAGTGCTATGGTGTAATATTGATTACTCACTTTAACACCAAGTTCTAAGGACCACTTTTTAAATAAATTTTCCTGGTCAGTAATATTATGGGATAAAAATTCTTAAATAATTTAATGGAATAAAACTTACAGCTCACAGTGATAATAAATTAAATCACAATTAAATGTCCTCCCAATGTAGTAAGGAAGCAAAAATGTAATGTAGCTGATACAGATATTGATTGACTGATCAAACACTTCCAGACAATTGTTTAATCCATTTTCTTTCATTGCTTTTAGGAAAAAACAATGAAGAATGGTCAAAACTTTACTTGCTTGTCATCATCTTAACAAACTCTGTAGACACAAAAAAATGAGAAAGGAGTATTAATAGCAAATAACACTTTCATAAATATTTCATTGGAACCATTACTTTTAAATTAAAAAAATAAATGTATTACAATAATAATGATAAACACATCATTTATTTATAAAAGGTGGGTGTATGGATGGCAGTTAGGGGGGAGTGAGTGAGTTATTTAAATGACAATGTCAGTCTTCATCATAAGCTTCTATTTAAAAAGTGAAAAACCATAACCTTCATAATTGACTTGTCCATCTCCATCAATGTCTGCTTCTCGAATCATCTCATCAACTTCTTCATCTGTAAGTTTCTCTCCCAGGTTTGTCATCACATGTCGCAACTCAGAGGCACTGATAAAACCATTGCCATCTTTATCAAACACTCGGAAAGCCTCTCTGATTTCCTCTTCACTGTCAGTTTCTCTCATCTTCTTGGCCATCATGGTAAGAAATTCTGGAAAGTCAATTGTTCCATTACCTGAAAAAATGCAGTCATATTTGTGAAATTCTTTGGTGAATAACTTTAACTGCAATAGTACTGAGAGAAACATAACAAAATAACTTAGGAAAGTTAGTCTTCTTTAATCTTTTCACTAGAATCATAATATATCAGAATTTGAAAGGTTTCCATAGGAAAAACTGTCTGAACCAGTGACAAGTATATTGAACATACTTGTTACTGGCTTAACATGATGTACCTTTGTTGAATTCTTTAGATCTCCTAAGCAAGATGTAGCAATGTAAACATCATACCTACACTGTGTTTATCTAGTAGCAATTCAAAACTGATTAGAAAGAATATAATATACAATTTTATTTTTGATATTTATTTATTTTCTGTTTTTTTCCTTCTCTGAGAAATTAGCTATACAACTACTCTTGTAAATCCAAGGTGAAATAAAGGTGATGTGTGTGATCTGGTAAACAGAACAGTACTGGCTCAAATAGGTTTACACATGCAAATTCTCAGTTAACCTTTTAAAAAGTTGGAATTTGCTCTTCTTGTTATTTGTAATCAAGAGATCCAATGTCAAACAATTTTTAGGAATACTCTTACCATCTGCATCTACTTCATTAATCATATCCTGAAGTTCTGCTTCAGTTGGGTTTTGTCCGAGAGATCTCATCACTGTTCCAAGTTCCTTGGTGGTGATTGTGCCATCTCCATCCTTATCAAAGAGTGAGAAAGCCTCTTTGAATTCTGTTTTTTTTAAGAATAAAGAAAGAAACAGTCGAAAATGTTGTGAATAACAAGCTGAAGCTTATTGTTTAAAAAAAAAATCCCTTCCCCTCCCTCAGAGGGTTTTCTTGGCCAAATATCTCAGCCCCTCCATACCCCCTACCCCCTCCCCTAGAATTTACTCAAGACCCAAGCTCCATCTTATCTAGATCATAAATATTTTCTGTAAATAGTGCATTCAAATCTGCAAAAAAATTCAAAATAAAAGACAGTCAAGTTTAATACCTGCAATTTGTTCCTCTGAGAGTTGATCAGCCTTGAAAGGAGAAAGTTAAAACAAAGAAAACACTCTCACTAAGTCAGAAATGTTGAACATGCCATTAACTTTTATTTTAACCAAACTGAATGAGATTAAAATCACTGATCTGAAACATTATGCAAGGATAAAAGGATTACAGATGTGGGAAAAAATTCCAACACCAAATTATTCAGACATTATGTATGATTTTTCACTCCCTCGACTACATGATTTGAATTAATTTTTCATGGCTGTGAGATCAAGTCAAATATCACATCTGTGAGAAACTGTGAATTCAAATAAACCTCCATGATGCTTGTCTAGGATTGGTCAATAATAGATTGACTTATTGCATTTCATCTCATTTGCCTAATCTCTCGTGTTTTGGTTATCGATATTGTAATAGGCTCGCCTGAAGAAATTTATATGAACCGCAAACTCGCCAAAACTGAAAATGTGTTTTTAAATAGATTAGGTTTGTTCACTTGTCGACAAATAACAATGCAACTTTATTGCTTTCCAAAGATGAAAAATTCATTGGTGTAAAATGAGATAAAAAAGCCATCGTAATTATGCGGAGGAAAGAATCAATATGAAGAGAGAATTGAATTAGCTGAATCGACGTGTTTCGCGTACAATGCAATAACAGAAGATTTCCTTTAATTTTCTTCTTTTTGAATGATGACTTGAAGATGTCATTTTCCAAAAACTAAGAGCGCACGATAAAGAAGGGAGAATAAAAATTTTGTATCATATTCATAAGGATATACTCACTTTAGCATTAAAATAATACATCACTTTAACAACAATTATAGATCATCGAAATATTCTGTATATTCTGCTTGCAATCATAACTTAAGCTTCTTTAAATGCGGCGAGACTAACTGAGGTTCTTAAAGCCACGATCAGTCGGCTAGAAAAGGTTTCAATCTGACATCCACGGCGCCGAAGAGACGACAAACAATGCTTTCAGTACACGAAAAACATCTGGTTACGTGCCGGAAAAGTCTGACCTGTGTTTTTTTTTTTTTTTTTTATTAGCTTACTTTGATCGTGTACTAAAATAGTAATAATACTAAAAGAGCGTTCGCTTGAATTTCACTGGAATAAAGCAAGGACACGAATAATTTCATATGGAATATTCCTACCATTTTTTGTAAAGTTCCGCTGTCAAATGTTTGATTCCCCAAATTAAATTCTCAAGAAAAGGAAAACCCTAATTTTTGTACATCCCAATTAGTGACATAAGGATCCCTATTCGCTTTTTTGAAACAATAGATATCCTTATTAGGTTAAACATTACCAAAAGTGCGTCGGGTTGCGGATAATGCGGCTGTTTCTTTGTTTGTTTCCTTTTATCTCTCTGTCTTTCTTCTTTTATCTTTGAATTAAATTTGCAATTTTCCTGAAACACCAGCCGGATGTTTTTGTTTAAAATTCAATTTTTTCATTCGCGTTTATTCAATTTCTTCTAAACATAAATGAGTTTGCTATTACGTTACCGAATTGTTGAACGAAATGTTCGCGTGACTCTTTGCCACAGTCACGTGTACCCTGCGTCTAATCGTGAGAATCAAAGAGACCAAGAACTCGCTATCAAAGGATAGATCATGAACTTTAGAACTTGAATGCAAAAAAGCCAAAATTTCCATTTTCCTTCATTTTAAAACCGAGTGAGCCTCAGATCACATAGCATCCAACGGCACTAGCCTCCTGTTTCTTGATCAGTATCGATTTTAGATTTCATGACAGCGGGTAGGTAATTCAACACGTGACCACCCGGACGGTAACCATACCGTATTACCTTATTTCTCCAGGACTTTTATCAGTTAATAATAATATTTAATAAAAATTGTCTCAGTATTAATTCATTTGACTTCTCGTACTTTCTAGTCTCCATCATTGCTGATTTATTTTTATGTTGATTAAAAAAGGATTCTCTGGGCAGACGTTGTCAAATTCTAAGAAAAAGAGAGAAGCTTTATTTGTTAAAGTTCATATCTCAGCTTTTTTTAGGGAAAAGGAAAAAACAAAATTTAAGATTCCCCTTATTTAAAGAAAATTAAAGTTTGCGTGACAAAAGAAATTTACATCCCGCAGTCGACGCAGTCCCGGAGCGCACGATCCAAATTTGGAGTGACAGGTTAACCAATCAAAGACTGTTACGCCTATAACGAGCCTTTCCGAATCCCGATAAAATACTTTATAATTCAAGAAGTTTAATTACATCGACGTTTGAAGTTTCTTAGAAAGCCTGAGTAGTTTTGGAAAATCATCGGAAACCTTAGAAATATGGTAAGATTCAACTATTCACGTAACATTTTATCAATCATACTCATTTAGGTAGCACTGATCATTTGCTAAAGTGGAAGATGAAGTTAACTTGCCTTCTGTACATTATAAATATTTAATATTGGTTCGCTTTTGATTTTCGAATTGGATGCCATATTTTTTGAACTTTTTGATCTTTGGACACGTCTAGAGTTCGGGTATTGTAATAGCCTATCTAGCGTTGAAGCAGTTTGAGACGGATTGATTACTTGCAAGAAGAAAACTCAGCGAGTTTCGTTTTAGAGGTGATTCCATGCGTGACCGATCATGCCTTCGAATTCGAAATAATTTGACAAGTGTGCGTGCTGAATATACCCACGCGTAGTTCAGTGAAACAAAACTGTTTGTAACACGGTTACCTTGATTTGTTTAATAGTTTTTGTGGGGAATTTTTAAAATATTCTGTACAAGTTTATTTCATTTCCGAACATGCTAATGGCGCACGTAGTGTGAAAACTTGCACATTTTGTTGCTATCGCAACCCATATTGATTTCCTGCTGGCTAGATGGGATTGATGAAGGGGCGTCGAGTTGAAAACATAGGGGGGATTGTGAAAGAGTTACTGAAATTGAGGGGAAAAGGTAATAATTTTGACTATGACATGGATTTTATACATGAGCCACTGTCTGAGATGTAAGGGCAACTACAAGCCACATCATGACATTACTAAATTGATTGATTGATTGATTGGTTGACAACTAATCTAATTAGAAGAAAACTTCACAAATGGAAAAAAAAATGTATGTTTGCATTCTCAAAACATAGATGTAAATGGGAACTATTAATAATGCAGGGTCATTGTTGTAACAGAAGGGATGGAGAGTAGTTTTCAAGCCTCTGGATTTACTTTACATATTTCAATTGAAAATGTCTTATGTTGTGCATTCACTTCAAAATGTTGTCTAATATAGCTGGCTAGCAAAAATTCCCCTAATTAGTATTCCTTGGTTTATAGACCTTGTGAAAAAAAATTGTTCATTCCAAGAGATCCATTATATAATGTTTCTCTATTTTCTTCCTCTTTTAACATTCTGTGGCAATAATTTCAGGCTGATCAACTGACAGAAGAACAGATTGCTGGTAAGTTATTTGATTCCTTGAAGTAATAATTGCAATAAAACAAAGAAAAAAATAACTTACAGGGATGTAGATAATAGCCGGAAGCCGGGAAAATTACCCGGTTGTGAACGCGATTTTTCCGGCTGTAAAGCACTACTTCTTCCTCCAAAATGTTTTTAAATGTCATCAGAAGATTGTTATTTATTTATTTCGTTTGTTTACACCTTCATTGCTGTCTTACCTGAACTGAAAGGATTGTAAACACTCCATTTGGTGCGACAATCGCATTATTCGCATCGCTTTGTCCATTTTGCAGGCTTTTTGCCCTTGATTTTGCCCCCAAAATTAAGGAAAATGCATCTCCGAGAGTATGCATTTTCAAAATTTCCCGGGGAGGGCATGGCCCCAGACCACCCCTAGGTATAGCATGCCAAAGGCATGCTAGAGTGGGCCTTTGGCCCAATTACCTGCCTATAATTGTTAGATTCCCGCCTGTTAAAGACTTAAGCTACATCCCTGAACTTAGACAAAATCAAGCCGTTTTTGACATGATGAAATAAGTTTCACATATTTTCCTTGCTTTTATTTTACTCTTAATCCTTAAACTACCATGAGTGACCAAAACAGAATTTCTCCTAAGAATATCAATACAAAACCAGGCAGACAAGTGATGGCAATAGAGAAAAACATCAATTAGGGGATTATTAGTTGATCCAATAACAAACTCTCAAAACTAACATCATAACAATTGTACAGCAGACAGTAAGGAGAATTACTACCAAATGAGATCGTGGGAGTGAAAGGGTTCCATACTTTGACTTGTTGAGAAGTCTAGATTCTTAGGTACCAGTTTCTAGCCAAAATGTGTAGCTGAGAAAAGTGATCAAAATTATTTATTTTTGTTGACAACTTTTTGTTTTTGCAGAATTTAAAGAAGCATTCTCGCTCTTTGACAAGGATGGAGATGGTACAATCACCACCAAGGAACTTGGAACAGTGATGAGATCTCTAGGACAGAACCCAACTGAAGCAGAACTTCAGGATATGATCAATGAAGTTGATGCAGATGGTAGGCAAAATATCAGCTTTTCTCAGTGTGCGTTCGATTGCACATGTACCTGACTCACTAACCAGCTCAAAAGTGATGAATAAGTTACATGATTCTGAGATTTTTTATAAATTTGGAATAATAATGTCCTGTTGGAGAAAAATTCTGCATCATAGAAGACTTTAAAAATTAATTGCCTCTTATTCCATGAGTAACTAGCATCTTATTTCTCTTTATATTGTAACAGCTGAATCACCAAGATAGAATTTCTCCCTACAATATCAATACAATACTTAACAGACAAGTGATGAGAATAAAGAAAAATATGAGTTTGGGGATTATAATTTGATCCAATACCAAATTCTCCAACTAACATCACAAGAACTGTATGGGAGACAGTAAGAAGAATTATGAAGGAGATTACTGTTAAATAGAAGGATTTGATTGTACAGGAGGTGTAGATGGGGAAAGGAAGGTATACATGGTATGGTACACCTGCCTGTGATTTTTTTTTTAAATAATAATTTTTTTGGCCATGTGCCAGACTTTTCTGATGGTATTCAGTTGTTCACTCTCTCTCTCTCTCTCTCTTCTTGGTGAACAGGTAATGGAACAATTGATTTCCCAGAATTTCTCACCATGATGGCAAGGAAAATGAAGGATACCGACAGTGAAGAGGAGATCAAGGAAGCCTTTAGAGTGTTTGACAAAGATGGAAACGGTTTCATTAGTGCCGCTGAACTACGTCACGTGATGACAAACTTGGGAGAGAAACTTACAGATGAGGAAGTTGATGAGATGATCCGAGAAGCAGATACTGATGGAGATGGGCAAGTAAACTATGAAGGTGAGTGCAGTGTTTTTTTTCTATGTGGATGTTCAATGTCATTCCCTTTTTAAGATTGTCTCTTGCAGAAGCCAAAAGAAATTGGTTGGTGTGACACTGATAAGTTGAAATGACTGGTTCCTTTTTTCCTCTTTTGTCTTTGTAGAATTTGTGAAGATGATGACATCAAAGTAGATCAAAACGTAAATTGGAACATGTGTTAACTTGCTGAAGCTTTGATGTAATATACCCTTTATTGTGATTGCTCAGTTCGGTTTTTTTTTTTTTTCAAAAGAAATAGTGACTTTCTTTCACAATTTAGCTGGCTTTAGAACTAAGAAATTAGAACTTACTCTAAAAAAAAATGTTAAGTTAAGATAGCTGTAGGATATTTTTTCTTGTATGAAAGTTTCTGTATTGTTTTAACACACGCGATATACGCATGGATATCTTTTGCGCTTCTTGGGTTACTAAAGGTTTATGTTTGGAAGTTCATGTGTGTGGTGTTTTTTTCTCTTGCATTTACAATTTAGAAATATTTTTGTCTAATAATTTGTTGATTCCAGTGAAATTATTAGGTTACTAAATCGTATTTCTCTTCCCAGCCCTTTACATGACTATCACCCAACTATTTGATGTGACGTGTGTGTCGTAGCGTGACAATTGGCCCCGAACCTTCATGTATGAGGCCGATCTTAAAAAATTTACCATTTAAAATATGAAGCTTGAATCATTTGATATTTTCCCAAAAGAGCGGCGTGGACCTACTTCACTGTTTGTCATATTCGTCACACTCAAGACTTGCTCGTGTTAAGAGGGATAGGGAAGTTTGTGATTGACGTTTCGTGACCCTTGGGGTCACGAAATCTTTTTGCACATGACAGTCGCATGGTAAGAACGCCGAAATATGTTTCCCCTCAGTAGAAAGAACACTTTCTGAGCGAAATCTGATTTCAGTCGTCATCAATTCCAAAGCCTCTCTTATGTAATAAACCTAGAAATGGATAACTCGCTACAATGGGTTCTTTTCGACATTATAAGCGGTCGGATAACAAGCGATGTGCTCTGGAAGTAAGGCGAGGTACTTTTAATCCTAGGAGCAGTCGTATATATTCCCCAGACAAACTCGTATAATTTTGCCATGACTCTTACTTCGCCAGATGATCATTTCACAGTTGCAGCTTGGGCCTGTGGTCTCTCCAGCTCCGTGTTACATAAATAATCTGTGATAAATTGTCTGTCACACCCCCGCTTACTCCCCCCACCTCCCCCCATACAAAGGAATCGCCGTGAGTCAGTTAAGGTTTCAAGAAAAACTGAAAGTATTATTTTACGTCCAAGTCACTTTATCTTCCAAGCCTAGTCGGATTCTATATGTTTACAGACATTGATGTGGTGCTCAGACGAAACTACATGATCTCCAGGTTCCCCGAGAAGAAGAATCCGTCGGATAAGCCCCCTAAAGATTTCAAAAAAATTGACGCAGTTGACGCAGCCGACGCAGTTTTAAAAATTCGCCGCAGTCTGCACTTGACGCACTTGACGCACTTGACGCAGGCGACGCAGTTGACGCATTTAATGCATATGAATGACTTAATGACGTCAATCAATGCGGCTTGAAAAACATTCATTCCGGCTTAATCATTTGAGGACTTAATTTTTTGGGCTGAAACTAAATCCCAGCTTTAGAATAAATTTCTTTTAATACTGAATTGATTTTATACGCTGATTTCGATAAAATCTCGCTTTTGTGGTTTTGTTATTTGAGGAAAGAATACTTGATTTATTTTCTAGAAACAGACCAGCCGCAGGCGACGCATTTTCCGCATCAGCAATCCAAATTTGGAATGTCAGTTTCATTTGAATGCACCAATCACGTGCCGTGTTTTTTTCACGCGGCTTCCGAAGATGCTTCGAACGTTTTTACAAGCAATAAATTTTCAAAGTTCTAGAAAGTGGGATTTTTGACGGAGAGCGAACAGAAAATGGTAAGATTTTCATCAATTTATGACATAAAAATTAACCAACTGATAATATCTAAACTTGTCTGTTATAGGTCAGCGCAAAGAACTTTCCTTCAGTCAAATTTTAGCTGTTATTATGCTCCTGAAATCTTGTCTGCTTAATTTCTTCCGCGATTAGATGTGAATACGTTGTTTTCGTAGATTGTTTTTAAGATCTTACGAGTTAAATCAGCAACTATTTTAATTATAGCAGAATGTATAGTTTACAAAGGATCGCCTTGTGCGTTATCGTTGCATGTCTTGTGTTTAGTGTCGTGACAATCCTAATTGAGTTAGCTAATGGAATCCCCACATGGTGCAGAACTTTAAGCTTATGGTCGTGGGTTCACTGCCAAAAAAAATCCGCTTTGAATCTGTAATTTTAAATCAGAGCTGTCTTTGAAACCCTCTTCATCGATGTAAACCATTCTGGTTAATATATTATGCATGTTTGCTTTTGTGTAAATATTTCTTTCCAACTTAATTGACCTTTTTACAAATATACCATTCTGTTTGTAAAACGGAAGTACTAAGAATTATTTCTTGCACAACTTCTGGGGAAGTCGTTTTGCATCTTTGCTCCAAAAAGAATATGAAAATTTTCACTTTAAGTTAGGGAACCATTGAATTATTGATTAAGGGAGTGATTTCAACTGCTGTATGCAGCTGCCCCAGTCAAAGGCATCCTGTTTACAAATTATTTCCATGTTGTGTGCTTTTCAAAGGAAGAATTGATCAGGGTGTTACAAACATTGAGCCAATTCTATACCTTAAGGTCGTCTAACTTGTTGGAAGAAAATATGAAAAGCATAATTGTCCTTGCCTACAGATGTTGCATAGGTATAATATATGCAGCCCAACACCTGCACACATTGGTGTGCTAATCTTTGCAAGAGTATTACTTCAAAACCTCATATGTTCACAGTAAATTCTTGAAATTTTGCCACTGATTTAAGGGCTGCCAATTTCTTCATATCCAAGATCTTGGAAAACTGTTGTGTGTTTGTGCACCTTTTTTGCTTGACCAATTTATTTTTGCTTTATGTAAGCATGGTCACCTTGGTAATGACTTACACAGAGACTACAATTGAATTCTTAAGCTGGGATTTTATGGTTCTTGCAAAGGACTGGTGCAAGACCTTAGTCTTAAAACTTATGGCATCCTTTAAGGAACCTTGGAGGCAATTGGTTAAGTTCAAATGCTCACAGTGCTCAGACTTTCCTTCATCCGAGGGTAACCAATATTTACAAAGAATATAAAAATATATAGCTGTAGCAGTCATTCAGAATAAGTAGACATATTGTGTTTTAAAGCAAACCAAAAATTAAGAATTGTAATCAGCTTCTTGATAAACTTTTTTGTCAATGAAAAAGAATTATTGGACTGCGATGTTAGTTTTTGAGAGCAGAATATTTCAGCTGTCAAGGATTTGTACAATGCATGATATTTCTGATGTGATCAAATCCTATTTTTCGCATTCTCTCCTCTTGAGCAGTGACAGATCTGGCGATAACTTTTTCTGTTGTTATCTCATTAGAACTAATATTTGTTTCTTTTTCAGGCTGATCAACTTACAGAAGAACAGATTGCTGGTAAGTGAAGACTATTTTTTCTAGCATTTTTGGTGTTTACTCTTTCTTAAAGGTGGAGAGAAAGATGTTTAAGTTTTAAGAGTTTCCTCTGATTTATTGTGCATTTTGCAATATCACATGGGATAAGTGCCCACTTAGATGGTTCAGCGCCAAAATCAAATGTTTGCAAATAGGGGAAAAAATATATAAGAAATTGAAGAAAGTGATAATAACTAGTTTTGGCTGTTAGGTTTCACTTGCATGGTACTTCCTCTATTTCAGAACTCTCTGTAATTGGTAGTGCTGTATTATCTCCTTTGAATTCCAGTTGGCTTGTCATCATTTGCACCATACACAAATTCAAAAGAATTAATCCAATGGATCCTAAGGTGTAATATGAGCTCTGTTCAACTAAGCAAATTATCATACCCATAACTTGTTTCTGCCTTATCTTCAGAATTCAAAGAAGCGTTCTCGCTCTTTGACAAGGATGGAGATGGTACAATCACCACTAAGGAACTTGGAACAGTGATGAGATCTCTAGGACAGAATCCAACTGAAGCAGAACTTCAGGATATGATCAATGAAGTTGATGCAGATGGTATGTAATGATTAACCTGGGAAATTTCCTTGGCAAGAATGCAGCTTTGAATTAGGCACAATAAATGAACAGCAAAAAGTACAATGACTCTTTATATTGGATCAAAAACTGTAGTTTCAAAATTAAGGATTGGTGAAAGCTTGGTATACATGTTCTGCGACGAAATGTGCATTGGCCAGTGCCTGATGTGTTATTTCTAAGAGTGGTTCCACAAACAAGTTACTAGCTAGACTTTTAAGATCTAATTACTAATTCTATACAATTCTTGTGATGTTGGTTCAGAGAATTTAGTATTGGATCAACTGATAATCCCTAAGTGATTCTTTTCTCCATTCTTATCACTTGTCTGTTTAAGATAATATTGATACTGAAAGGAGAAATTCTCTCTTGGTCACTCAAGAGAATGGGAGGATTTAATACAATTCTGATCCCTAATGAAACTACAGCTAGTGATGACATGCTGGCAAATAGTTGAACATCACTTTTGCAATGGGTGATGGATTCCATTTTATTTATCATTTGGTTGATTTCTGGGTCATGGAATTGACCAAGAATTTATATTTTTTTGAAACAGGTAATGGAACAATTGATTTCCCTGAATTTCTCACCATGATGGCAAGGAAAATGAAGGATACTGACAGTGAGGAAGAAATCAGAGAAGCTTTCCGAGTGTTTGACAAAGATGGAAATGGTTTCATTAGTGCTGCTGAGTTGCGACATGTGATGACAAACCTGGGAGAGAAACTTACAGACGAGGAAGTTGATGAGATGATCCGAGAAGCAGACATTGATGGAGATGGGCAAGTCAATTATGAAGGTAACCCTTACTCTGCAGAGTGCAGTTGTCATAAAGAGATATTTGTAATACCTCTCTCCAACCATGTGGCTGCAGTTCAATTGAACCAGCTCTTCCGAAATCATGGTTAGTTAGATCCTGTGTGCCTTAAGAGTGACTAACATTTAATATTTCCTCACAGTATCACCCCTGAATCACACATTGTCACAAGAATAAAGGAAATGATCATCAACTAAACAAGCTGTTGATTTATGTCAATAAATACAGAATACAGTGTGTATGCAGGGTGTAAAGGTTTATGTGGTCAACTGATGGATGCTCTTAATTGGCAGATCAGCCAAATTGTTGTTTCATTCTCTGTAGCCATGAACATGCAGTAACAATTATGTTTTCTTAGCAAATGACAGCAGTGTTAACTTTTTTTTTCTCTATACAGAATTTGTCAAGATGATGACATCTAAGTAACTGTGGGACAGCTTACAGAACCCAGCTTGAATCAAGTTTGCAACCTTGTCTGTACCAATGAGAATTGTAGATAGCACTTAACTTCAAATGAGAAATATTTGTGGGAAACTCTCTCTTTGCGTCATACTATAATTCCCAAATTGAGGACATTTCTGTTGATAATTTATTAAGACTTGTTTTTTTGAAGCAATAAAGATCAGTCAAAACCGTTGAGAGTTCTTGTAGTGTTTCAGTGGCAATTAACAATAAAACTGTCTTTAGCACACATGATTGTTTTTAGACTTCATTTGCCATGTGATTGCTAAAAAGAAATAATTAATGGCCTTAACACTTTGCATTGATTGGTATACTCTGGTATATTATAAATTGTACCCAAGGTGTGAAACCTCCCCTCTGGAATTACATCTGTTGACATTGTCTCAAATCAGTCACTGAGGCAAGATCATTGTTAATGTGACATTAACTGATACACATTTTTTCACAGTTTTAAGGAAATGTTCATGAGTCAAAGAAAAAAAATGAAAAACAAAGTTTACCTCTTGACCTTTGACCGTTAGCCCTTTAACTCTTATGAGTGACCATGACAGAATTTCTCCTTACTATATCTATCATGTAGACAAGGGATGAGAATAAAGAAAAACATTAATCATAGGATTACAAATTGATCCAATACCAAATTCTCCAAACTATCATAATGAGAATCATTTGGCAGACAGTAAAGAGAATTACTACTGAGATCCTGGGAGTTATGGGGTTAAAGACTAGCATCTATTTTCTCCACATATCGCCACTAACATTTTAGTGGTTATGAGAGTACAGGGAATGACCAACTGCCCAACAAGCGCTTGACTTTTAAACAAATTCCCCTTGTTGATACCACAGAAAAGTTTGGAGAAGAATATGCTTACAGATGTTTAAGTGTGAAGGTCCTGACAAAACAGGCACTAAAGTTTGGGCAACTTGTGTTACACTAGGGTTGTTCGAGCAAAGAAAACCATTTATGGAATATTAATATGGAGTACATCCTGTCATCTGGAAAATATTTCTTGATATTTTCTTTACTCAGTAAGTCCTTGAGACGGTGTAGAAGTGCATGTGAAATTGGCTCCCAAGATCCAATTGGCCCCCAAAAAGTTGGCGGGAGGCTGAGAAGGAGTGACTAAAATTAGCGCCAGTCCTCCTCGTCAAGTAATTAACAAGATGGCGGACGAGTTGATGGAAGATTTCATCATGATAAGCTTGCAGTCTATGTTGATTTAGCAGGATTCTTCGAGATGACTTGATGGATATATGCATTTAAAAGGTCTTTAAAATGTTTGCGCCAGCTGGTCAACCAGAACTTGTTCGTTCAAACCAGAAAGATGTATACTATCTTGGTTTCTTAAGAGAAGGCATCGGACAAATATTCAGGAACGTACGAGGTTTGTACAGCTGTTAATTCCTTAGAACGTTTAGTGGAGTAAATATAGTATTTATTTTGTGTTTTCTTATTATAAAAAAATATGATATCAGCATCTGCTTGTAGCAACGAACCTTAGGTCACCATGATGTAATTCTCGTCAAATCGTCGATAGTCAGATACTGTACTTGCATCTCATTGAATTCCATTTGTGCCTCTTATGTTTTTCCTTATTCTTCAAATCCTTTCCCTTCCTTTTGTTTTGTTTTGTTTTGTTTTTTCTTTTTTACTCTCTGGCAGTGGTCCAGTGATCAGTATAAAATGCACTCTGCTGATCATGTGCATAATGCAGACACTGTTGGTATGAATTACAGACCAAAACAGTTTTTAAATTATTTCAGTGCAACCCTATACAATTCTAACACAAAGCTTATTTTTAAGGCATTCTATTGTTTTCTTCATCCAAGAACTATATGCATAATGAATTATGAGGCTGTACACTTTTCCAACTTTATTTTATTTTATTTTATAATCAATTATACACGTAGATATCCTGCCACTATCTCACAACATAAGTGTTGATTTTCGATCACTATTCCCATGTCATTGTCCACAACAATTCTCTTTATTTTGCCAATGTTTTGAGCCTATTTCCTGGAAGTGGTCAGGTTAAGCTTGTTCTTAAAACATCATTGATTTATCTTTTGAAGGCCCTTTCTCTTGGATCAAATGGAAGACAGAGTTAGATTTATTTGCTGACATCTGTTATTTTGGTCTAACTACAATAAGTGGTATGTTATGTAGTTTAATGCTGTATCAAGTTAATGAGTGTTGTTAAAAGGCAGAAAGTTACAGGTACCTTAGGATTTGGGAGGTATAATATAAATGAAAATTAAAATTAGTCTCATAAAATGTTTGGAAGTATTTACAACACTAGGAGAGAGAAATTAAATAGGGTTATTATAATTCAGAGGGAAAAATCAAATTTTCCCAGGAAAGGTTTCCTATGGGTTTCTTAACAATTTATTTCCAAAGAAATATTAAGTTTATAAGCCTCGTTTTGAAAGGTGAGAAGCATGCATAAATAAACTCATAAACAAACTTAACATTGAGTGTAAACTGAGAAGCATAAAACTCATAAACAAACTTATATTGAGTGTGAGGGAACTTGAAGGTTTTGTTGTTTTGAGTTTTAGTCCCATGATAACCTAAATTCTCTTTATTTTTGTTGCTGATAAGGAAAATGGTGTCATTTGTTGATGTGTAAGGAAAATATTGAATTAGTTGGCAATTTAATATTACCAGTTGATTTCTATTTTTTCTGCCTCCTGATAACATTTTTTGTATTTTTGACTACTAAAACTGGATCTTGATCATGGTAATTTTTGTGTATTTTTTTTGAAGGGTTTTGATTTGTTTGTTCAGCTGTGCTGTGTGTATACCATACAAAGTTATTCTAGCTACGGGAATTAGTGACCCATAATTAACTTACCATCATGTTAAAGCTTCATAAACCATTTCCTCAGGATATCAGACACTTGGTGAGGAGTACTGTAATATTGTGCAAGTGGACACAAGCAAGACAAGGATCCCTTCAACATTGGTAAGACTAAAACAACAATTTGATCTAGGCCTTGAGCTACTGTTATAAAAAAAATTATTGGTAAGACTTATTAAAGCTATCTTAGACATAGCTGAAATGTGATTTCGAAATTAATGTGGCTCTTGAAGTATCACTGGGTCTGTAAGATGCAAAATCTCAGAGATGTTGAGCTCTGTGTTTATGCAAGTAATTGCTGTTAGAATTATTTATAGGTTTTTTTTTCTTTTATTTTTTAATTGGATTTCTCATTTACTCATAAACTCTTTCATTTATTATTATTTTGTGTTTGTTGATTAACATTGACAGCTGAGAGGAAGTCTTGTCTTTCTCTACGCACTTGGTCCATATCTGGTTGACAAAGCTTTAACAAGGCTGGAACTTTGGTTGCAAACCCAAGGCGATTCTCCTTATGGTTAGAATTTTTTTGGTCCTTTTATTAATTTGGTTGGTTACTAATTACTAATAAAACAATAATATTTTTTTCATCTGAGGAATTTTTTTGGAAGCAGTTGATGCAAATACTTATAAATTTGATAAAACTCTTTAGAAACTAAAACACTTGATCATAGTTTGACCCTTTAACTCCCATGAGTGACCAAGATAGAATTTCTCCTCACAAGATCAATACAATATCAACCACATAAGTGATGAGAATAGAGAAACATACCCATTTGGGGATAATTAGTTGATCAAATACTAAATTCTCTGAACTAACTTTATAAGAATTGTATGGTTGATAGTAAGGAGAATTACAAGTTTGATGTGGAAGTGAAAGGGTTAATGTTAAGGATGATTGATTTGATTTTCAAATTTGATGACCATTGATGTGGAAAAAGGTTTTGAATGTCAGATAACCCTTTAACCCCTAAGAATGATTTGCATCTAATTTCTCCTTACAATATCACTATTGAATCACATATTGATGTCATGAGAATAAAAGAAATGATCCTCAAGTAAAAAATGCTTGATTGTTAGACAAATTCTCCTTGTCAGTGCCTTAGTAAATGTACAGAGAACAGTATGGAGAATATGAATACCAATGTAAGGGTGTAAAGAGGTAAAGGGGGGGACAAAGAAGAAGGTGTGGTATTTCAGAAGGATAGTTGTCACACAAACACACACTGATACATCATCACACAAACACACACATACATCATCACACAAACACACTCATACATCATCACACAAACACACACATACATCATCACACAAACACACACATACATCATCACACAAACATGGTTCTGTTGCTATTAATGGGAGATTTCTTTGGTTAATAATGAGATGAAATTTGTAGGGAAGCATTTTTCTGCAATTCAGTATGGTGTTGTTAAAAGGAATCAAGCAGGTTAACAGTAGTTTTTTTTACTGCAGGAATTCATCCAAGAGTGAGAAATACTTTATCCACCTTGATCCCCATTGTCAGAGCAGGTGTTGTTTGTAAGTATTAGCTGCTAATTCGTTTTGTTTGTTTGCTTGTTTTGTCATCACTAAAACATTTTATATTCATTTTATATTTGATTGATTATGGATTGCAAACTGATAATATTTTCGTTTATCCGTAACTTTGTAAGGGGCATGCTTATTATGTACATGCTAGTGAAAATACACTTAAGGCTGGTTTTCACTGGCGACGAAGTCATAGTCGTAGTCGAAGTCGTAGGAGCGCTTCCGACCCAAAATCGAGAATCGGAGTCGAAAGAAGAGTCGTCAACTGGACGGAATCGGAAGAAGAAGAACGGTTTCGTTTTCTTCCGATTCCTCTTGTGACTTTGACGCTTAATTTGAGCCAATCAGAACTAGATTGGCGGAGGCGTAAACAGAAGTGCAGGAACCAACCAATCACATTGCAAGTTCTAAGGCCATCCGATGGTTTACGACTCCGATAATGTAGTTTTCACTGGGTCATAGGCGACGGAGTCGTTAGAGACGTCGATGGTTTTCTTCAGATTCCGTCGATTTGATTTTCACTTGATCGTATCCCTCTGCTCCTCAGATTACGTCTCTGACTTTAAATCTGACTCCAACGTAGTTGAAAACCACAGTTTTTAATGTTTCCTACATACTTTGTGAATATTACAGATGTCCACCGAGCGCACCTGGCATTGTTTTACTTGAACGGCATATTTTATCATATTGCGAAAAGGATCACTGGAATTCAATACGTAAGTAATGGTGTTTAGAGATGGTGTAGTAATTTTTCAGGATAACATCTATGTCGTGGTAGGCAAATGAACTCGGTTACTAAGATTTTTATCAATGCAATTTTCCTCGTTCGTTCAAAAGCAAAAACAAAAAGTTGCAGAAAACGAGCTAAACGTTAGATCGAAAAGTTTGGGTTCCAAGCCCTAGCGAATTACTTACCTGTGCTCTGCCACTAGGCACTTCATCCTTGCAGTGCCTTTGTCTACATAGGAGTATAAATGGATACTTTTTTACTGCAAGGAAATTTACTGGGAGGTAAACGATTGAGAATCAACAACAACAACTAATCAAAACTGCTTGAACAAGAATTGGCAAAGGTTAAAATTGAGACAGCTAGCCAAAAAAGAACATCCTTTACGCACTGACCGCTGAGCGCCGTAATAATTGAAATAATTCTATCGTCATCTCATTGATTTGCCTGCAGCTGCTTGTACGAAACAGTCTCAGGAATGACGGCTCCAGACCAACTTACCGCCTGCTTGGCTATCTGTCCGTTGTACAAATGATTATCACTTTGATTCTGACAATGTTCCAGGTGAGATGGTGACACGGTTTTTTTGTGTTCCATGTACCCAATCATAACCCTCTTTCCTTTATGAAACAGAAATGGTAACATGGTATTTTCAGTTCTTATTGCAGCCTTAGCTGAATCGTCTCCCTTACGGGGGTACCGGGGATGAAAACTCCTGAGGAAGTGTGTCAGGATATTGTTGTCAATGTCAGGCTTTTCCGAGCTATTGAATTAATAACGAAGAAAGGAAGATAAACTAAACAAAGCAAATATGGCACGCTATTTCTCACTTTCCATGAACTTTTTCGGATATTCTTTTTGTTTGTTAGTTTTTTTTGGGAGGGAGGGGGGAGGGAGAGAGGTTGCACAGGATATGCCACTGGTTGGGTAAAATCCTCTCGACTGGATTGTCCACATTGGGAAGCATTTGCAACGAGGTCGCCATGGATTTTAGTAGTAAACTGGTGATTTACCCCCTTACATCAGTATGCATATTCTCCACGCTGTTTTCTGTACATTTTTTAAGGTGCTGAAAAGAAGAATTTGTTTAACAATCAAGGGCTTCTTTTGTTAGTGATCGTTTCATTCATTCTCGCGACCTTAATGTGTGATTCGGGGGTGATATTGTAAGGAGAAATTAGATGGTAGTCACTTTGTGGGGTCAAAGGGTTGAGTATACGGGAAGAAGAATTCTTCGTGTCGCATGGAATCTTTACACGCGGGTGAATCGCAATCTTTCGTTCATCACTTTGTCGACAAGTCACCTGCGGTAAACATTGAATTGTCTGTGTCTGAACAGCATCTGAAATCTGGCAAACCATTGGAGCGCCTCGTCTCACAAGACAAGCCAGCGGCTACAAGCATCAATACTAGTAGCGGTATAAAATGTGCACTGTGCTTGGAAAAACTGCAAGAGAAGACAGCGACTCCGTGTGGACATCTTTTCTGTTGGAAGTGTATTACAGAATGGTGTGCCAGCAAGGTTCGTAGCCACAAGTCGATTACGTTGAGTACTAAAACTTTAAAACGTTCTTGAACCAGCAATAACATCAGTAATAATTGACAGTCAAACCCTTTAGCCCGAATTTATTGTATTTTTTGCTCATTTCTATTAATAAAACCCACTTTGAGCGGTCATCGAAGCAACCACTAGAAAAATGGTGCAGTATGGGGGGAGTGGAGTTGCAAAAAGAGAAGAGGGAGGAAAATCGTCTGATGTGACATTGCACGAAGGAAAATTCATGGATGAGGTAACCCACAGAAAGGTTCTTAGATTGATACCCATTATGTCTATATATGAAAAACTCGTATATAAGCATGAAATCAGGGCCAATACGAACCAAGCGGATCGAAGATTGTGTTTTAAAATCCCAACTGGCTGGAGGCAGACCAGGTGGCTGCATACAAAGCGCAGCACAGGAGTTGAACCCGTGGTAACCGAGAACAAATACAGGGCTGAATCTGGAACCACCAGACTTCAAGTCCAGCGCCCTAAGTGATTTAGCAAGAAGAAGCAAAATAGTGTACTTACTACCTTTAATCTCTTTTCCTTTTTTATTCTTTGTTTCCAGCCTGAATGTCCGTTATGTCGTGAATCTGTTCAGCTGTCCAGGTTGGTTTTCCTGCATCATTACGAACCTACATGAAGGCCCCACGTGACCTGTAGTAACGTTTACAGACAAACGCACCCTTAGAAGCGACTGGTTGTATCAGCTGTGTTTAGAGCCTCTTATAATTTTGGTGACGGTGAATCGATAGATTCCTCTAGCTTATTACTATCTGAACCCAGTTGTGCTAGTTACGGGCCATGTGGAGAGTTTTGCGCTACAAGAAGGTTATGACTATGAAGAAGCAAAATAATTATCACTTCGTTTGATGCAACTTTGATTGTCAAAGAAAGCTGACAGAGCATATTTCCAAACTTTTATAAATTTCCTGCATAGTTCAACATTTGATGATCTTTTTTCGCTGTAATTTTTAGGAAGTATTAGGGATTATTTACTTAGTGACGTGAGCACTCATCGATATCGAGCTTGCGTTTGTTCAGTTCTCATACCTTCGTGTTTACTTATTTTGATGTGCCGTGTACCCGTTTGAAGGAAATTTCATTCCTCAAAAGCATAAAACGGACACTATTGCTCCTGACCCAGGCTGCGATACAATGTACCATTTCAACTTGATATTAGAGAGATTTTGGTATTTAAGTTCAAAACTTTCATCAGATACGCGATCCTGGGTGTTTTCGAAATTCGCAGTAAAACCAAATAAAAGCTACTAACATTGTCTGAGCTTGCTTTCGAAGACTGCGTGGCTGTAATGTAAATACTAACTACACATACTTTTCGATCTCTGCTGGAACACATCGCTTTGAGAAAACATCGATATAACACCGATCTAACCGCGACAATTACACTAGCTTTAGTGATGTTCTCAGCTTTGAAAATACAGATTTAAAGTGCTTGTTTCGGAAGGCGAACAAAAAGGGATTCAGCGCTGAGTTAAGGTAGCAAAGCATTAACAACATCTTAGAAAGTTCGTAAGGATATGGCGTTAAGCCGACCAAGTTTGCGACGATGCTGAAATACGAGAATGGCTGCCAGCAGAAGAAGATAGCCACGACGAACATTGAAGTAGTCTTTCGGCTCTGATGTTCTTTAAGTACACCTTTTTTTCATCTATAGTCGGCTGTTTAGCTGATGACAAGCCACCATTGTTGCCAAACTTCGGCCCATGATTTCGGGAAATGCGATAAATGAGGATGTAAAACAAACATGTGACCAGCAAAGGGAGTATAAAATTTATTAGAGACCTAAGTGTGGAGTAAACCTTTGTGTATGGTGTCATACATGCTCCCTCAAATATCGGCTCTTCATTTCTATCTCACCACCCAATGATGGGAAGAAGAGACCATACAATGCAGTAAACCCAGACAAGGAGGGAGATTGTTACCGCTCTCTTCTTGGTCACGTCGGGACCGAGCGAGAGGATCACGAATGGTGTTATATCGATCCACGCTGATGGCCAAAAGTGTCAAAACCGAGCTAGGAACAGTGATGAGGTACACTGTAAGCCAAGTTATGCACAAAGCTTTTCAGTGTTTCCACAGTCCATGCAGAAAAAGAGCTTCAACGTCAAATGGCACGACAAGGGTTACTGTGAGAAGGTCCGAGATGGCCAGGGACAACAGCAAGAGGTTTGTGGGATTGTCGCGGAGTTCTCTGTTGGTGAGTATGGCGTAACAGACCAAGAGGTTGCCAACAATAGCTACTAACGGGATAACAATGTAGCAAGTAGCAACTGAATACGAAAAGGTGGGTTCCAAATCAAATGGAGCCGCCTCACTGCTTGAATTGTTCATTATCAATGCTTCTCGACATTACCAACCTGAAACGTAGGTGCTGAATGTCTCTTCACTTTCGGAAGGACAAACTGATCGTTTGTGAATATGTTTCGGCCTCAGATAATCACGTGAGAATACATCGAATATCAGCAAGGTTTTGTACATTACAGTAGACCAGTTGAGAAAATTTTTCTCCTCTAACGAGCACAATATCCAGTGTTTGGCTAGCAAGTGACGTCAACAACTCGAAAGCATTCGAAATATCAGGTATATTAACTTTCAGATTAAGTGTCGAAGAGCACTTGCTCAAATAGGGAAATATAATCAAAATCCATAACCATGCATGTAAAAAATTTTCTCATTACGTACTTGCGGCGTCAGAATTTTGTTATTTCTTTCTTACACAGTGTTGGTAATACCTGCTATATAACTTTGTGAAAGTCTTGCACTCGCGCATGCGAAATGGAGCCTTTTCAGCTATTTGTGGCTGTAAACGTACAATTCCCGCCCGGGTAATAAGCTCCCCTGCACTTCTCTCATTAATTACTGATTCCTTAGTAAACCGGATTGGATCTCGGCGTTGACCGCAACTGTCCATGTCCATAAACAACTGAACATCATACTTCCCACCTAAGTTCGTACAAAAAGAGAAAGATTTTAAGTTTTACGATGCTGTTTGATTGCACGGCGCAGGGTTAGACTGCTGTCCGGTACAATTAAGTATTTGACGCTTTCTTAGAATGAACGTATGTAACCCGGCACTTCTACGAGATATGAATTCACCTCTTGTTTGCTTTACTGTGACAAAGAGCAGTATTGTCCACATGTGGCCTCTGAATTAATACAGGTTCACTCTTAATGCATATATATAGCCTTGTCAAAGCTTCCAAAGCTTGTCTGTGCGTTTTATCACATTGATATCTGAGCTGTAAAAAGCATTATCGATATGGCCGAGTGCTTGCATTAATTAACAAATATTGCCTATACTTGATGAAGGTTTTTCCGATTCGACAACTGATGATCAAAACTACTTAAAGTAGCCCTATACCAATGTTGCCTTACACAAAATCTCAAGGAATGTAACTGTCAGATTGCAAAGTAGGGGTGTTTATTTCCCCAGTGCCATGAATTCCCTGTCAAGGGTAAAGGTTTAGTGGTTTTGATGTTCAACCATCGAGTTTTAAAACTGCCTATCTTGGGCAGTATTTCACAATCGACGTTCGTACTCGGCCACGTTGACATTGAGTTTCAAACCTCAATATCATAACAGTCATTTATGTTGGCGTTTCGGTTACATGACCAAAAAAGCTCGAGACACACTGTGTTCCATCAGATGATAAGGCGGTAAAATGAAGAGGAAATTATTTTAAGTCATTTGATATTAGTAACAAGTGGTTATTTTTGTCCATTATACATAATATATAGTTTTAGAAAAAGCGGTAAATTCTTGATTGTCGCCGGCATTGTAATACTTTGGTAGTTCTGTTAAAATTTTGACGAAGAAAGACCGTGACGAAAACAATTTACTAGGGCTATGATATTAGTAACATTTAGAAACTTGGGGGGTGTTTCACCTATTGCTTGTTAGGTAATATACCTTAGTACAGAATATTACTCGGGTTCGACTTACTCTCGTAATTTCTCCGACCAATATAGCCCCGACTCGATCAGTCACTTAAATAAGGATACTTTCCAGTAGGAATATAAGGAATATAATTGTATCCATCAATCTTCTTAGACAGTTTGAAGGCAACTTATGTAAGCTTAGTTTTCTTTGACTAAATCCTGAGGACAAGTGATATCTCCTTTAAGGTCATCAAAGTTGATGTGGCCCCAACAACAATCCGTCTTGTCTACTAATCTGACACGAGCCATCTGGCCAATGTATTCTTCCACGTTCCAGCTCTTACGGTACATCGTCTCGTTACAGTTACCTGTCTCTCTTCGAACAGTCTATTGGGAAAAAGGAAAACAAAACAAAACAAAACAACTCAAACAGTTTCAAATGTTAAAGAAGGAGCAGAAAAGCGGGAATTTAGTCTTATCTCAGCTGCTGTAAAACCTAAGTCACATGAGATTCTAGACAAAAAAACTATCTTCCCACTTTTCTTTGAATATGCGCTCGGGCACCTATTTTGGCTAAGGCTATTAAAGGAGGAGAGCGCTTATTATTTTCCTGCACTGGTTCCACTGTGATTGAAGCTTAAAACGTTATAAATAAAGTAGCAATAGACAAAGGTTCTCAGGTATCCTCGCTATTCTAGAAAGTGAGAGAACAAAGCCTAAAAAGGTGGAAAGAACTACTTTCGCTTAATCAAATCAAAACTAACATAACAAATAGACGGTTTCAAAATCATAACAAAAAAAAGAGGAATTAAAGTAGAGAAAGAAAGTAATAAGCTCTATTGTACTTACCTGGTTGTTGACAATAAGCTCCGCCCGAATAACGGTTACATTACAACCCCCACCAATGAGAAATGAGATATTTTCGCCAACGATACGAAACCAAGGGGAAGTGATAGTTCCACTGGGAGCGTCACTACCGTCTGGGTGCTGTCCTCCCGGAGAAATGCTCTCGCTGGGTCGATTCTCAGCTCCCCCTATCCACCAGTTTCCTTGTTGTTGGGCGCTTTCTCTGTTGCGTGCCGCGGAATTGTCACCAAATGTGGGCTGGTAAATGAAAGCTCTGCCTGTCATTTCCCACCCGCCGATTCCATCTTCAAAGTTAAAGCTACAGGCTGCGTGAAATAAGCAGAACAAGACAAAATCATTTAAAATATAATGAGATAAGTGGAATTTTTCCAAAAATTCAACCCTACTCCTTGCTTTTTTTTGTTTCCTAGTTTAATGTTCGTTCACTCAGAAAAGCAATAGAGCATCAGAATACAAGTAGAGGACCGATCGTTATTCGCCGCCTTTGGAAGATTTTGATTGTGTTACCCTAAAACTCACCTGATCCTCCCTGAGGTTTTTTTAATATTTTTGTGATCTCCCCCCTTCCCCCCCTCCCCCCCATAATTTTCTATGGTACCCCCTTTCACCATCTGTTGGTGACGACTGATCCCCTCCTTCGTTTACTCTGAAAATCATGTGATCTCTCCTAAAAACCCTTCTCTCCTCCAGTGATAGTCATATCATGAATGGTCCCTAAATAAGGTGTCCTGGCCAAGGTATTATTCAACAATGAAACTGTGATGACTTGAAAAGTACTTCTCAAACTCTGCTCACTATGACATCACAAATGCGTCTAAATAAAATACGATAAAACTCGTTTACAAAGAATTAAAATAATCATACTGTTAGTTACCGATTTTATAATTTAATATAAGACGAAAACATGGTCACTTCGATGGAAACTTTCGATCAAGTTTAGTTGCAAAACTAAAAGTACAGTCCAAGGACGAAAGAAGGATCATGAAGACCGAAAAGACCTGTATTTTCTTTCAGAATATATTTAGATAACAACCGTAGTGGGTGCTTATAGGAAATATGGCCCAAATGTGCAATAAAATGATAGATAGTTCCACGAAAAATTTCTCTCTCAATTGAGGGCATACCTCTTCCGTTCAAACGCTGGATATAGAACCAAGCAGGATCTGAGCGAAGACCTTCAGGTCTGGCTTCTTTGGCGCGGTTGTTCAATTCGCAGATCTTTTCCTTTCTGTTGTAGTTGTAGCTTTGGCAGGCGATTTCTTGTTCGCACCGGACATTACAGATATGGGGAGCTGATGCAGACGTCCTTGTAAATACGAACCCTTCGAGTCTCATACCTTGAATGTTGATCTCTGCCCAGCACTGGTCATCGGTAGTTACACAGTCCACAAAAGAAGCGAAGAGAAAGAAACAGATCATGTCGCGCTGCATTTTTCCTGATCAAAAAATTGTAAAAATAACTACTATAGCAAAACCACGAGTTATGCTTTCCTTTGACTTTTCAGACCCTAACATCAGCATGTATATTCTCCATACTGTTTTGTAATGCATTTTGCCAGGCACTTACAAGGAGAGTTTTACTTCTATCAGTTGTATCATTCACCTTTTGTATGTTACACATCTGAGAGAAAAGTTTACTTATCCATAACTCAAAATAACACTTGTTTTTTTATTTTCGTGGCTAAAAGTATGCTAAAGACTTAACATTTCAATATAGAATCACCTTTGTTAAAATACTTAAAATTTTGATATTACACAATTTGTGCAGTGTCAAGCATAGATTAAAAAAAAACCTGCACTACACACCCTTCCATCATTTTGGAAAATCATCGACGCGTTAAATATATGTTATTATCAAGTTATTTCTAATCCCTTCATGAATTTTACAGGTCAGGGAAGCTCAGGGAAAAATAAATTGCTTCAAGGAAATCAGTTGAAAGTCAGACAATTTTACTGAGAGTCAGAGCACATAAACATCTTTGAAAGAAGACAGGGGAAAAGTGGAATTTCATGTAAACATGACGTCAT